CTAGAAGAATTTTGGAAGAAAATACAAGAACAAAATGACAAAATAAATGAAAAATTAGAAATGATTCTAAATCTACAGATAGAAATCCAGAAGATTGATACTAAATTGTCAGAAATAGATGACACATTGAAAGGGCAAAGGAGTAGAATTGATGCAATGGAAGACAGAATTAATGAGATTAAAGGCAAATACCTGAATACTTCTTTGGAAAGGGATCAGTCAGAAAAAAAATCAAAACAAATAAAGCCTAAGGTTCATGTGGAATACCGTCAAAAGGAATAACCTACTTGTCATTGGAATTCCAGAACAGGAAGTGAAAAATAAAACCACTGAGAAAATTGTCCAAGATTTGTTGGAGGAGAACTTCCCTGATATGATAAAAGATGAGAATATATCCATTCAGGAAGTCCAACAAACCTCAAACAGGATAGACCCCAAAAGAAAATCACCAAGACACATCATCATCAAACTCACCAAAACCAAAGACAAAGAATCATGAGAGCAGCACGGGAAAAATGAAAAGTTACCTCCAAGGGGCAACCAACTAAGCTCAGATTTCTCGACAGAAACCATGCAGGTGAGAAGACAGTGGTATGGTATATATAAAACACTGAAAGAGGAAAATGTCCAACCAAGAATAATGTACCCAGCAAAACTGTCCCTCAACTATGATGGTGAAATTAGGACATTTCCAGATAAGCAGATATTAAGGGAATTTGTTAAAACCAGACCAACCTTACAAGAGATGCTAAAGAGAGTCCTTTGGACAGAGAAGCAACAATAGCCAACAACAACTGACCTTTAACACACGTGATGTTATAACCCAGAAACCAACCCAGCTATGGGAGTATCCAAAGTAAATAAGCCTACAAGATTGTAAACGGGGAACCAGAGACACCAACTGACAAATGAGGACAAACTGCAAACCAAAAAGAGGGAAAAAAATCTGTGTCATTATAGAATTTCTAGATGGTAGGGATGTCAAAACAATTACAAGATAGAACAGATTGTTCTACACTTGGGAAGAAAACTATAAATCACAGGGTGACCTCAAAGAACCTTCACATCAAAATAAAAAAGAGGACCAGCATAAATATTCAGCAAATACTAAAACAACAGCAATGAAAGAAGTGATAACATGATTCATAAACAAAATGAGCTCAGCATAGAAAATTATATGGAACAAAGAAATAGACACAATGAAAAGGACATGACAAAAATGACAGCAACAAATTCATATTTGCTGATAATTACATATCTGGTAAGCGACTTATCTCTAAGACTGATGGAAAACTCCAAGGCCTCAACACCAAAGGAATTAACAATCCAATTGAAAAGTGGGCAGAAGACATGAATAGACACTTCACCAAGGAGGACATTCAGGTAGCCAACTAATATGTGAAAAGATGCTCACAATCAGTGGCCATCAGAGAAATGTAAATTGAAACAACAATGAGATATACCATCTCACCCCAGCACTGATGACAAGGTTCAATGTGACAGAAAATAACAAATGCTGGTGAGGAGGTGCAGAGATTGGGACTCTTATACACTGCTCGTGTAACTGTTAAGTGACACAACCACTGTGGAAAGCAATATGGCAATACCTTAGAAAGTAGGAATTGGAGATACCATTTGACCCAGCAATCCCATTACTAGGTATACATCCTAGAGAGGTGAGAGCCAGGATAGGAACAGATACATGCATGCTCATGTTCATCAGAGCACTATTTACAATAGCAAAAAGATGGAAACAACCTACATGCCCATCAGTGGAAGAGTGGATGACCAAACTATGGTACATACACATACTGGAATGCTATGCAGCACTAAAGAAGAATGTAGTCTGCAAAACACTGCATAATATGGATGAACTTGGAGGACATTATGCTGAGTGAA